TTGCAACTGCGATTTGTTCATTGTTCCACTCTTGACTCCTTGCTCCCTTCCTCCTGCTCAGCTTCCAGTCAGCAAGGGAGCAGGGCAGGAACCAGAAAGCAGGCAGGGAGGGTCGTGACTGCAGCAACGAATATGATAGCAAGCAAAGTCAGCCAATGATTGAGAATGGACAGCAAATAATGCAACAAGGGGGACAGCGAGTAAGGTGAGAAGTGAGTGTTCAGCAAGAGCACAATAATGACGTCAGGAGCACTGACTTTCTGTTCCAGTGTGGTGGCAGAAGATAACAGTTGTGAAAAGCACTATATAAATACAAGTCTTTCTTTTATCAGTCTATTCTTTAATCAGGACATGATTTTTTTTATTTAAAAACATTGGATATTTCTGTAATGACCTTAACCAGATTCAAGTAGCATACCTGCTCACATCATTGATTTATTTATTGCAGGAGTTACTCACATCATGCATTGAATCCAAAAGTTTGGTCAGCTGATAAAATCGTTGCCAGTTTTGACTTGAGCTTCCCTCTTTCTTCACTATGGCTTTCCCTAGCTCCTTAATATAGGAGGTTCGAATTTCATCAAACATTGCCTGGCTCTTCAAACCATCCACTGGAACTGTAACAGAGCGGCAAACAGATATTAATTTGTAACAACAAAAGGCAAAACTTTCTCTTCTCTGTTTATACTTTTGACTCCTCCAAAGATTTAATAAAAATCAAACAAAAAAAAGGAATCTTTTCGAGAATCTGCTCTTTAGAAGAAGAAGCATCTTCAGTGAAAAATGAACTTGTGTTTATACAGTACTGTCAGTAGATAGCAATGTTTCATTTTCAAAAAAAAATTTCTTTGAAAAGCAGGTTAAAATTTGTGAGGCCACAATCAGAATAAGATAAACTAATGCTAAATTAATGCTAGTCTGTTTACTGGGATGATAGTCAAGGGATACAGTGTGATCGGGTACTTCTGGAATATCTAAAGGGGAGGTGTGGTGTAGCTTTAATGCCACATCCAAATGTGACGCCTCTGATGCGTCAGGTACTTTCACCAGTATTGTGCTGAGACATTAGCCTATGTTATGTGTTCAAGTCCTGACATAGGGCTTAAATCTTGCTGATTAACAGGCTAAATTGTTATTACTAAGCTAAGGGTTTTCATACCTACATAAACAGGTCTGTCTACTCACATAAAATTGTATTCAGTTTTTTTTCCTTCTTTTATTTGATAGAGGGATTTATTGCATTTAATCGGTCAGGACAAATTTTCAAAATCAACCATTTTGTACTTGTATTCAAATATGATTGACCTTGCCATAATTTAGTGCTTAATCAAACATGTTTTGAGAGGGGTGTCATGCAGAACTTTCTAACGTTTTTCCCCAGCATGTGGGCATGTGCTCAGCTTCTCTTTGGTGTTTTACGACAACATGGTGTTTGAAATTGGCAATGATCTACTGAGAAGTCATACATAATTACTTGTTGGCATAGTACATTGGGTCTCAAAGATACTATGCTGCATTACCACAATAGTTAATAGGCATTGCACTAAAACTAACATCGCCAAATTAACAGAATACAATATGATGTGCCCAGTCCACTTGTTGTTCACCAGCAAATACCTACTTGTACCAAGAAGTAATAATGCCTTCATGCATAGATATTCTTCATAAGCAACCTTAAGGTTTCTGAAATCCAATGCAACGTTGCTCATTCCTTTACACAAGTTGTACATCGAGGACTGCTGCATCCGTTCCCTTCAATCATAATAAAATGAAAAATGTCAATGAATTTAATGCTTATGGGAGTTATACTCCTTTATTTTTGTTATTTAAAGCACCTTAAATTAAATGTTTAGAAAGTAGAGATATCTGAAGGCTGTTTGAATTCAAACACTCCTTTTCCAGAGGACAAGTATCAGTTTATTCATTAATAAATTTCAGGTGAATCTGATTTTGCAATCAGACACACATGGTTGGGCAGAAGCACTTAGCAAGAAGGAAACTCTACCAGATTTTATCCAGTCTGTCAGGATAATTTCTCGTGAGCTAATCACTAGTTCCCTCTAAAGTGAATAAAATACTCTCATTTAAACTCTGTACCATCTATAGTTGGCAAGCGGCCACAGACAGCTCTCTGTTCTCAAACACTGCATGCTGCTGTCATTCTCACTTTGCCCAGTTTTTGATGATGTTCACCCATCCAATTCTTCTGACTCGGCTTGTTCTTTCCTAATTCTACACATTTTATTGTTAACAATGGTAGATATTCATTCTGCTGTTTCCACTGGTCAGACTTTGCCAACTTCTGTTTTACTTCTGCTAAAAGTTCATGAATTGCTGGATTTCAGTTTTCCTGCAAACAGATTAATTGTTTGCTCTGCCAAGAACCATTCACCACAGTCACAATTCAAAAGCTGTATCTTCTTCACACCAACCTTACTGACAATCTCACGTAAGTAAGGGAAAATGCTTTACAACAGGGATTTTCTAAGTTGTATTTGTTGGAAATTGGGACCCCCTTAAAACCGAATTTTCCTAGTCCTTATTTGGTAGCATGATATTTCACTCAACTGCTGTTGCAGCATTAACTAGTTTTCCAAATTTCCAAACTAAAAGGAAAAGGAAAAGGAAAAGTCACAAGTATAACTGATGTCATGATGCCCCATTGAACCAGTGTCAATGATTTATCTGGCACCATATGTACTCCCTTATCAATGTTTTATGTGGAAACTAAAACATTTTTGATCTTAAAAAGAATGATAAACTCGCCCTCAAATGAAGGCAGGAAAGGTGACAATGGTCATTTTGGAGGAGGACAAAAAGAGACAGAAATAGAAAGGCAAAGAGAGAGAGAGACAGACACACAAAAAAAAATGAGACACACACCTGGGAACTCCTGGTCTCTTGGAGGAGGCCAGGAAGTTCTTTACATCAGCCGGAGGGAAGAACAAAGACTGTTACCATTCCAGGCTATCACCAAAGACTGCAAAATATTAGGTCCACAACTCCAAAATGTGACGATACTGTGCCTTTAAGAGAGAGGTGTTCAATGCTGTTTCTGTGGCAAAGGGGTGTTGCCACAGTGGTGCTGGAACGTCACCTTCAGACAGGCCGTCGATAAACAGCTTTGGAATTTTTCCCCCGAGTGTTATTTTAAAATGAGGCAAAAGAATCATGAGTGGGTGGGGTCAGCACTCTCAAACCCAGGAATGTTTTTAGTTTTGCTTTCAGTTAGTGACAAGGTTTCTGCAACCTAGCTGTTGAAACTAACAGCTAGAGCTCTCTCTCTGTTGCTAGAGTGAAAAGACCGCACGCAAGAACAAAACTGTTTTGATAAACTGCATTGCCAAGGGTGTGTTTATGGAATGCTGCCTATATTGGAACAGTTAATGATTAGTGGTTAAATCATATTATTTTGTTAAGTATTCCAAAGACAAAGTTATGCCAGTTCTTCTTTTTGTTTGTATTTTGACTGTGTTGTAAGAATACAGTGCGTTTTGCTTCAAGCTTCCTGGTAGTCCAATCAAATTACATCTGGAACAGAGTGCCATACACTTGATTTTAAATAAATGTAAAAGTTAGGGTCTAAGCTAACTTGTTTTTTTGGGGGCGGTCAGGTTTGCACATAATAAAATCTACTGTGGTCCAACACCTCTGCTTCTCCATTCTACTGAACAGCTTCAGGATTGGTGAAGTGTACTCATCGGTGTCAGGTTATGCATTTCCTTCCTTTATCCAATTAAATAATGCATTGTACCTAAACTGCTGCTTAAGAGACTCAAATTATCTGAAAATTGCTTTAAAATAGTCAACTGCCTATATCAGGTGCCTGTGATCAAGTGCATTCAAAATCTAACACTAAGTGTAAATTCTTCTTACGGCTGGGGAGTTGTGAAGTGGGCAATAGCTTGCCTCATCTGGATTGAAGTGTTGTTATCGCCGTTTGTGATCCCTTTCAAGGGGAAACTGAAATTAATCTGTAATTGGTTGCTCAATTGTCACATCAGTTGCACCATAAGTTTTCATAAGCATGTTTTGCTGTGTGATCCTCAAATCAAACTTCAGACTTGGCTTTCTTGAATTTTCAGCCATTATTTTTCAGCTATTTGCGTAGTGTCATCATCATATCTAATGTTCCAGACGTTATCACCACCAAAACTGGCCTAACGTTTCCTGGGATTTGGCAGGATTTCTGAAAACAAATGGAACTAGGCAACCAAATGGAACTAGGTGATGGCTGTTCATTAAGGGATAGACAGAGATATCAGGCTTGTGGGGAACAAGTAAACAAGTGTTGGGGTTTTTTGTTGTGCGAGAGTTGGATAAAAACTTAAATAAAAACCCTGAACTTTTATCTAACAAAAAATTAATCTTTAGTGATTAACATTGGCAGTGAAGGGCAGTCAGCTTTATTTAAGTTATGATTGACAATTAGCGTAAAATTCCAAGCAAAAAATTATTTAGAGAGAACTTCAAGAGACAGCTGGATTAAAATGCAAAATATCATGGTATGATTATCTAACCCTGTTTTCTGAATGTGAATCTTCTGAAGAGTAGAAGAATAGAATAACCATCTGGACTTTTTATTATTCTACTGAGGAGGAAACAAAATACTGGCCTTGGTAATTCTGCTAACATGCAAAAACAGGAAAAGTAGCAAAGCATTTTTCAGAATTGAAGACTAATGATTTAAACACCTAAGGAAGTTTGGCCAAATCATTAACTTTCATGGATTAAATGTATCAAAAATGTGATGTACTAACTGCTTATGAAATATGGTCAGATATTGACAAATTTAGAATGAGCGAAGACAGTTCCAAAGGAAGGTACACAATAGGATTCAGTACACTGCATACAAGAATGGTCAAATTTCATCTGGAAATTTCCCAAACTGTGCTAGCATTTAAACGATCCTACTATGCTAAAGTATCGAATTTGGGTTGACTTCTTGGTTTGACAGGACATAAATTTCCAGAAAAACACATACCACTAGAACAAATGTCAGATGCACTAAAATATTTCCTTGGAAAGCATTTCTTTACAGCAGCATTTGTGGTGCAAATAGCACAACTGGCCATACAAGAAAAAAATGGGTGTTAACCAGCTAGTGAGACTGTCTTAATACAGGTGGTAGATGACAGAATGAAAAAAAGAATCTTATTAAAAGTAGTAAGTATTTTTGACTACTTTGAGAAGCAAAGAGAATTGGGACTTACAATAAAAGAATGAACCTCAAAAATATCCAGCGTGTAGTTAACTGATGTTTCAGATGTGATTTAGCATGCTACTATGCCATGAACTGTCCCAAATGGTATAAGAAAAGTGAAACGTGAAATAGAGGATTCAGAAGAAAATAATCGTGATATGGTTTAAGGAAAAGGCATTGTATTGGTGACAAGAAATTTCAGAATTGGTGGTCAAATCTTTCAATTGTGCAGCATCATATAGTGGATACACATTTACTGTGTGAAATAGATTGACTGAAATGCTACCTAGACTCAGAGTAATTAGGATCAGATCAAAGTAAAGGAGTTTGAGATTTCCACCACTTAAAAGAATTGGAGATGATGACGTATTAAATCTTTTCAAAGACTAGCCATTCCTTGCAAAGTGACTGGAATTCATCATTTTATTAACACAGATGTAGTATATGGTAAAATACTATTATCATTAAGTAGAAAAAAAAGTGTAGATGAAACTGGAAGCAAAAACAATCTACTGCATTTGGAAAATTTGTGAATTTGCATTTTATAGAATTGGGCCACTCGTGGATACAAAAACAGAAAAAAATTGGTAACTAAATTTGAGGATGCATGTACAAATACAAACATAATGTTACAAATATGGCAGCAGAAAGTCCTTTTAGCAATGGGGCTGTGTGAAAAGAACCACGGTGTAATAGACAAAATGGTTCATAAAATTTTGGCAGATCAAATTATCAACTGCCAGACAGGGGGTGTCCATGGTAAGAATTTGCTACAGATGATTGGAAGGTATGGTCCATGTCATTCATTCTTTGATATAAATCCTAAAGTTCCATTGGAAATATGTAATCTGGTCAAGCTTGGGAACTAAATTCGAACAAGGAACAAGAGCAAGCTACTCAGCCCTTTGATTCTGCTCCATCATAAAATAAGATCATTGCAAATCTGATTTTAATCTCAACTCTACATTCCTGTATATCCCTAATAATCTTTAATTCCCTTGATAATCAAGAATCCACTTACCTCTGCCTTAAAAACATTTTTTAAGTTTCTGCATTCACTGCCTTTTAAGGCAGGGAAATTCCAAAGACATTCAACTCTCAAAGAAAATGCTTCCTCATCTCCGTCTTAAATGGGCACCCCCTTATTTTTAAACTATGTCTCTAGTTCTACATTCTCCCACAAGAAACATCCTTTCAACATCTGCCTGGTCAAGTTCCCTCAAGATCTTATGTTTTAATTAAGGCACCTGTGATTATTCTAAATTCCAGAGCAAACAGCCTACCCTATCTAGCAGTTCTGCAAAAGGCAATCCGATCATTCTAAGTATTAGTCCAGTAACTTTTTGTGAATTGCTTCCAATGCACTAACATTCTTCCTTAAGTACAGTGACCAGCAATGTGCACAATACTCCAGATGTAGTCTCATCAATGACCTTTATAACTGAAGCAAAATTCCCTACACTTGGATTCTATTCCTCTTACAATAAACCATGGCATTCTGAGTTTTTCTGATTGCTTGCTGGATCTGCATGATAACTTTCAGATTCAT